CAAGCCAAGCTAAAGGCTATCGCAGACGAGCAGGCGGCGAAGATGAAGAGATTGGAGGAGGAGATGAAGAGGGTACAACAGGAGGAGGAAGAATGAAGGAAGGCTGCTGAAGCAGAAGCGGCAGCAGAAGAAGAGAAAGAAAGGATGAGAATTGAGAGTGGGGAAGGAAGTAGTGGTGGCACGATGAAGTGGGAGACAGATACTGAGCTGGAGAAGAAGATYAGCRAGTGGGTCGCTAATTTATCGTTGGGGGAAGACGAGGAGGCGGAGTCCTATGTGACTAAGGATGAGAAGGCTGCGCTGGCCGCTGAGCTAGCGTCCATGACAGACCCAATGGAACGAAGAGAGAGGGAAGACGAGCAAAAGTTAGCATGGAAGTTGAGAATGAAGAGGGAGAAGAAGAGGAGGAGAGAAAAAGTGAATAACATGACCGCCGCAGTGGCAAAGGTGCAGGAGTGTAGAGCGGAGGTGCTGGCCCAGCCAGATGATAAGGCCAAGTGGGACAAAGTACTGGGYTATTTAGAGGTGTTGAGCAAGGTCTGGATGGAGGAGCGCCAGGCAAGCTGGAGCCAGGATGTAGCGTTGAGTGCCATGCGGTCCGGGTTCAAGAATTTTGCGCGCGAAATCGTCGCCCATATTGGGGGTGAAGTCAAGCAATTGAGAGACAACGTAGGGAAGTTTTGTGAGGGCGCCATTCAGGGTGCCAAAGCTGCAGCCGCTGTAGAAGGAGAGGCCAGACCCCGTAAGGACCCAGTGAAACTTAAGTTCCGGGACGTGTACGGGGGGAAGAAGGACGAGAACTTTGACAACTGGGAGGCCAGTGTCAATAGTTACATTTATTTACAACATATCCTAATGGACGAGCAAGTCCTCGTGGCCTTCCAGGCCCTGAAGGACGAAGCGGCTAGCTTCGCCAGGTCTCTCGCGCATACAGCCGGTTGTGAAAACAACCTGGTTGCATATTCTAAAGTCACCCCTCTTTCCCAATTCCTCAGGCTCCTCAAGGAGCGTTTCGCTGACCCAACGATAGGCATAAGAGCCTCTGACAAGCTTCAAACGATCCACTCACGGCAGTRGAGGAGTGCCAAGGCACTCAAGGGTACCATGGACGACTTGGTAGCCGTCCCGGAYCATGGGGTCACKGAGCCCCAGYTGGTTCAGTTGTTTTATCGTGCCATTCCAGAGGCCCTACGTGGGCATTTCTTTGACAAGTCTCAGCAGGCCGGCGTCACATACGATCAATTGAGTCGCGAAGTCGTCCTGTATGAGTCGAAGTCTATGCCAGTTACCACTTTCTGGCATAAGGACTTAGAGAAGGGGAAGAACTGGAAGAATCGTACCATCTCAGGCCAAATAAAGGCCAAGGATCACATGATCCTGACATTAGAAGAAGGTGGTACCGATGAGGTCCCATATGACCAGATTGAGTGGGGCCTTGAAGATGATGGCAGTAGTGTAGGGCAGGGGAGGTCTTACGCTGTTGTCGCGGCTGGAGGGAGGCCGCAAGGAGGAGGAGGAGGCCAGGGCCAAAGGGGCCAGGCCATGGGAGGCCGAGGACCGGGCGCACAGGGGGTTGGCGGACAGGGAAACCGCCAAGCGGGAGGTAGGGGTCAAGGTCGGGCCAAAGGGGCCAGGCCATGGGAGGCCGAGGACCGGGCGCACAGGGGGTTGGCGGACAGGGAAACCGCCAAGCGGGAGGTTGGGGTCAAGGTCCCCCGTCAAATCGCCAGGGTAATCGGTCCCCACAACGAAGAGGTGGAAAGGCACCTCAAGGAGGATGGCATCCAGGCTTGCCGCAGGGCAGGCCCTGGGAAGACTTGGGCTTGGACCGACAATTATGGCAGGAACGCGTGAACATAAGTCAGTGCGTATTCTGTGGTGACCCGTCCCACGTTATCAAATTTTGTCCAAAGTATAGACAGGCCCGTTGGGCTGCTCAACAGTCAAAAGGCAGCCGCCAGTAGGGGTTGCAACTGTCCCTACTTCAAGGCCATGTGGAGAAGTGAGCGCGCGCGAACAGGACACTCCCAACCCACATGAGCCTATGGCAGAGGTTGCAGGCCCGTGCCTAGATAGCTGTCCAGAGACTGCTTGTGTTAGCGTCTCYTTAGGCACGTCCCTCACAGGTGTGGCAGAAGAGTTAAAGGAGAGGATGCCAGCCTGGGCCAAAATGAA